CTTAGTGCATTCTCACGTCATCTATCGAGTGTCTGTACCTTTTTACAAGACAAGAACCTGATCTATTTCTGTCTATTTAGAACAACGTGATATTATTTGTTAATTATTACTGTTACTCTGCACGCTGGTCTTTAAAAATGCATTTTGCAGTTTAATATCTGCAAAGTTTTCAACTTCTAATAAGTATATTGTAGCCAGAATTTTCAGTTATTTTTCGTTCATTCAGTAGGTAGAGGCTTCATGTTAGAGCACAATCTTAATTTCAAACTCTAACTTCCACTGTATTTATGTTTTTCTTCCGGTGTGGATGGTCTTTACTACACGGAGATAGATGATCATAGCAGATAGTTTTAGGAGGATACTTCTAAAGGCTCGAAATGAGATCTTTGATGAAAATCACTCTTCAATATGCAGTATTCATTTGATAAATAGACGGAAAAGTGGACGAAAGTACTGGATACAAGAAACAAATTGAACGTTGAAAATGCTGCGCATAATGTCATTTAATTTCTGATGCAAATTATCAAATAGGTTATTTTCTAATCATAAATCAACTTATGATTATCTTATGTATTTCTAATTATTAAATCTGTAAATGATTATTTAAATGTGGAGTATGATCCATAACAGTTGGTTTCAAGTCAACGTACAAATTTAGTAACTAAATATTGAGGGCCTAGGAGTTTCCAGTCATTTATTTATTTAACATATTTAATAAAAACCTTATACCAAGTAAGATTGTTTAATTAGCATCACTGACATTCGTTGTCCATACGTTAGTGTCAAAATCTCCGATTGACTATTGTTTGGTTATGTTTTTTCACTCGAGCCAACTCAGAGAAAACAAACTGTTCCGAAGCTACTGTAATTTAAGCGTAAAACTTGGTATTCTATTTTTTCATCTTAGTGCTCAGTTAGGACATGATTGAATTTTTCTAATTGTGTTGTACGTTGTGATCGTGTTAGTCATTCATTTATCCATTTATCTTTGTACACTAATCTGAATTGAAAATCAGGAATAGATTGAATGGTGTCCCAGTTGGCTCATCTCTCCCTTGTCAACCAAAAAAATAGTACAATAGTTTTCCTCTCTCTGCTCAAGGCCGTTAGTCTCATTTCGGACTCACTCAGTTCTGGACTCAAGATTAAACCAATTACCCTGTCGTGTCAAGGCCTTAATCTAGATTGACACAAGTCCTCTCTTGTTTTTACTGGGTAGATAGATCAAGGATATAACACCTGAATACATATCTCTCCACTTTTTCGTTAGGTTTTTCTCACTATCTCATTGTTACTACATTAATTCGATGTTTGTTTTAGAGTGGTATGACGACTTGGGCTATAGCGTATGAACGTGTCAGACTCTACGAATGCCCTGGTATGGCCGAGAGTGGGGTGGGCCCGCCCTCCCTCTTGAAATGCTCTCACATGGCCACGCGTATACAGCCTCTGCCAGGGAAGTCCTACTCATTGCCTTCTCGTGGCACCGGTGTTGGTTACGAAAATGAGAGGACGAAAAGCGAATGTCCGGCGCTTTAACCGGTTTCCAAACCAATGGTGCACATGGGCTCCAGTATCCTGAGGGAACAAATGGCGTATGAACCAATTTTTGGTCACCGGCTACCATGGGACTGCATCTCCTTACGATGCTCCACTGCCTTGTGGATCAGACCTTCAGGTCGAAGGCTCGGGGTGTGGCCCCCTAAGATAACCACCTGCTTCGGTCTGGGCATCTGAGCAGTATCACAGCCCGCACACAAATATGATGAACTGTCGATAATTATGGAAAATACTTTTCTTGCTACAACTATTAATCAAACGATTCACATTATTATTATTACTATTCTTATTATTTACTACGTCATTTATTCACTCTCTTTTATTCCTACTCTGTCTATCCTTATTTTTCGACTTATACAGCAGCTCGTCTATGGTGGAAATTCGGTTCTATCTAAACGTTCTCGAGTAGAGACGTTATCAGATATGGCTCAGAATAGAAGCCAGTGGCGATCCTGCTGTAACCTTTTACTTTCTTCATAAAAAGTGGTTGCTTCTTCCTTAATTGAAAGATCTCTTCTGAGTGTACGTTTCTGTTTCCCACATTATTATTATTACACCACCTTACACTAATCTATTCGTTATCGTTTTTTACGCTCCTTACCTTTTTTTCCTTTTCTGCAAATTCTCATTGTTTTGTGTGGCGCATATATATTTGGTGCCCTCCTGTACCAATATTTATGTGTTTAAATAAATAAAATAAATAAATAATTACGAGTAGATTGTTCTAATTAAGTATATTAATGAAGTTTGCTTTCTTCGTATTTAAAATCAATAGGTGTTACATTTTATTTCGTAGTATAAAACAACGACACTGAGATACAGTTAAGTACATACATACAATTGACAAGTTCTAAATATCTTAAAAAGAAAGCACACTTCGTCTGTATTTTACTCTATTGGTTATCACCACATTCAAAATATTACAGTCGTGAATTGTATCACTGTTTGGAGATGGATTATTAATGATGGTATTAGTAGACCTTAGGTATTATGGATATATACACAACTACATTAATTATGTATCTACAGAACGAAGCTTAGAACATACAATTAATATTAATACTATCATCTATTCTACTTATATCTACTCTCTCTCTCTCTCTCTCTCTCTCTCTCTCTATATATATATATATATATATATATATATATATATATATATATATATATAGCAAATAAACTTAGAGTGCGTATTTATCAGGTCAACTAGGCTTGTCTTCGAGAAAATAATCTCTTTGACGTGTTATTCTCTTTAGTTGTTCTCCAGGTCTCGCCTCTTTTTAATTTATTAAATATTTATTCTCAACGGTAACTGAATAACTTTATCAAACTGAATCATGATGATAATTAAGTAATTCAAGTGTATTATTCCTCTTTTTTCTTCGTTGTCTTTGTTATTTTATTATTGTTATTGTTAAGAGGATGATTTCAAAAGTGATATTCACTATTAACATTGTTGTTATAGCTACTAGTTAGTAGTATTTTATTGTTTAATAATGTTTATAATTTCATATATTTTTCTTTCTGATTAATGTTCCTTTTATTGTTGTTATATTGATATTAATTAATTATATCGGGTTTCTAACTGTTTGTGTTATTACTTACTTACGCCTGTTACTTTTCTTGAAGGAACATAGGCCGCTCACTAGCATTCTCCATCCAACCGTGTCCCGGGCAATCCTTTCCAGCTCCTCCCAGTTGTTATTCATCCTTTTCATATCTACTTCTATTTCCCGATGTAATGTGTTCTTTGGCCTTCCTCTTTTCCGTTTCCCTTCAGGATTCTAAGTTGGGGCTTGCCTCGTGATGCCGTTTGATGATTGGCGTAATGTATGTCCTATCCATTTTCATTGTCCTTTCCTAATTTCCTCTTCAGCTAGAAGTTGATTTGTTCTCTCCCATAGTAGGCTGTTATGATGGTATCCGATCAATGGATGTTGATTATCATGCGTAGACAACTATTTATAAATACTTGTGCCTTCTTGATGATGGTTGTAGTATTCCTTCAAGTTTCAGCTCCGTACAGTAGAACTGCCTTGATGTTCGTATTGAAGATTCTCACTTTGATATTGGTTGAAATTTGTTTTGAGTTCCATATGTTCTTCAATTGTAGGAATGCGACCCTTGTTTGTGTTTTACTTTATTTATTTGTTCATTCACTTACTGACTCCATTTTAATCGTTTGTCACTTTTTGATTGTTAAATACCATGTGAACATATTTCATGTCTAATGGATTTTTCATTAATCATAAGAATCTTTACTAAAAAAAAATAAAGATTGATTATTTGTTTTCTGTTTTGAAACTGTTTCAGTCAGTTAGTTAGTCAGCTACAACGTAGGACTAGGCACATATATGCATCGGTCCAATTTACCATACCTCATTAGTACAACCAGATAAACACCGAAACTGTTTACCTTTAAATAATATCTATTGTATTTTCAATAAATAATAGTCATATGTGAATTTGTTTTCAATCATCATTAATTAGTTATATACATGTTTTTATTTACTAAATTGTCGAGAATAACAATCATAAATAAATATATTAGAATAATGGATTATATTAATTAAGGCATTCCACTTTTAGTCAGTAATAAGTTTCAGATTCGAACTCATCACCGTGTCTGATTTATTCTATGAAACTGAATAGTATCATTTGTAATTTATCGTATAAACAATGTAGTTCAAAATCAAGCATATCTGTAAATCGATATTTAGTTGTTAAATCTTGATGAATAATCGGAAAAGATGAACCTTTTGGAACTATTCCACGGTGAATTAATGCATACATATTGTTTATACGTTAAATTTTTCGTTTATGGTATATTTATTTCACCCTAATCGTAAAACGTCATTCAACTTATTAACTGTTGATGTATGCAATACCATTGACGCATTACAGTTAGTTAATTATATACTTGTTACTTGAACTGTTGTCCGAGGTTCTACGTTTCGCATGGTCGACTAACTGACTTACTGACCCCTTTATCAACTTTCTACTGCAAATAACTTAGTTATGCATGTATTGTGATTCCTCATTTATCATAACTTATGGTCTTGTCATAATATGTATTATCATGTGAGTTTTTCAGCTATAGAACATATGATAATAAGTGAATCGGGTTACTGTTCTTTTTTGTTTTTGAATGGGGACATTTTCGATTTTTACCCAATAATTACTTATCATGTTTCTTCCATCTTCTGATCTGCAATTGTGTAGTTTCGAGTGCCATTAGTTGTACATCGTATTCTGCTATAACCATGTAAAGGACGTACCATTATTGGCATAAATCGAATCCGCCACTAAGTTACCTAATAAATAATCCCGTAACCCCTTTAGGTTGACAAATAGAATTTAATTGTGCAACATCAGTTACACACAAAATGAATAATACATCTATCATGAAAATAATTTTTTCTTGTTTTTTCGTGTGTAAAAAGGTCCTACGTCAGAGAATAAAACTGATTATACAACATCAGGAGGAGTTCGTGAACGTCGTCATATTCGTGAACGTAACCCACCTGAACGAGTACTATCCAGTAAATCATTTTCTGCTGTATCAGATATTTTTGAACGTCGTATGTCAGATCAGAATTCATCGTATACTACTAATAACTCTGGACGATCAGAATATTCACCATCTTATACAAATACAAATAAATTCTTTAACACTACTACAAATACTACTAGTGGTACCAATGCTACCAGTTTTCAAAATGAAAATGATGTTAAAGGGATTATTCAAAGGGTAATTATTATATTTCATAAACTTTTGCGTATTGCATAATCTCTTACGTCATCTGATACTTTCTATTATGTCTTGTGATAGAAGTATATCAGCCTTTTGTATGCTTTTTACTCAAACACTATTAATCAGTCGACTTAAAGCTTATGTTAAATGTTCAATAAAAATGTCAATTTTTAATGGTATTTATCACAGATATCCATTTTTATAACTCATACTTCATTCTAATGAAAACTGTTAAAATCCAGTGTTTTCTAACCAACCTTATTGGTTAACAAATTGTAGAATAGTGTCAAATTTATAAAATATAGTTGGGTTTTTTAATTAAAAAAACCGTCTCCAACCCTATTTGACCTAAACTCGGTATAAACAAGAACTATTAATTTGAAAAGATGTATTTTTATATTCCAATAAGCCATATCATAATTTGTTATTTATTTAAACACATAAATACTAGTACAAGGGGGCACCAGATACGTATGCGCCACACAAATCTCATTTGATATTTGTGAGGGCTGTGATATTGCCCGGGTGCCCAAACCGAAGGACGTGGTTTACTTAAGGGGTCACACCCGGAGCCTTTGACCTAAAGATCTGATCCACAAGGCAATGGAGCATCGTAAGGAGATGCAGTCCCATGGTAGCTGGTGACAAAAGATTGGTTCATACGCCATTTGTTCCTGCAGGATACTGGAGCCAGCCCATGTGGACCATTAGTTTGGAATCAGGGTTTACTAACTCCCCTAGGTGGACTCTACATACCCACCAACACGGTTAAAGCACCGAAAATTCTCTTTTCGTCTTGTCAATTTCGTAAACAACACCCTCACTGTGAGAAGACAGTGAGTAGGACTTCTCTGGTAGAGGTTGTATGCACGTGGCATGTGAGAGCATTTCGAGAGAGAGAGTTGACTCTCCCCACTCTCAGCCGTATTTGCCGCATTTGGGGGCAAAGCATAAAATAAAATTATGTATAATCCTTTTAAATCATGAAAGGATTATATATAATTAATTTCATTTTACTTGAAGTCTCAAAAAACAATTCATTAATCAACACTTATGCAACCCTATAATTAGGATATTTTGATTAGAACTTCTAGGACTGACAATTTAATGATACGTTCTATTTCTCAAAGAGCATTTTATACATTTACAAGTGTAATCCATTAACTTATGTAACATTCAGTACATTTTTTCTCAATAAAATAACCATTCCTAGTATCAAAATATTCAGACATATTTAACTGTTTGCCAATTAGGTCAAAATAATGACATTGTATATTACATGGTGAATGTATGTGTTATACACTAAATTTCTTAGAAAATCTCTTTTTTACCTAATTCATTCAACTTTATTGTTTAGGGTTCCAGGGTCATATATGTTCCTATTTTAAATGTTATATTTTAAAATCGAAATTCATCTCTTTTTTCATTCGATATTGGCTATTCAGTAGTGTTCTAAGGATTGATCTCTTACCAGGAAGAATGCACTTATTAATCTAAAGTACGTAGATAACATTGTGTTGTTCGATGGAAATTAATAAAATGTTGGTTTTCGATCTATTTAAACCAGTTATGCAATAATATTTGAGATGAATTTCCGCCATTTTACATTTAAACTCCTACTTCAAGGACTGATCTGTGTCAACGCTTAAACTAATGATATGGATTTATCTTGGAAGTTTCATCAATCCTGATGAGTTGGTTTTTTCGGATTTTTATCAATTTTGGCACTACCGAAATGTTCGTCTCCCAAACAAGGTTTCAGATACTTCTCTTTAGTGCTGTCTTGTTTAAATGATGACTCTGAACCGTGGTGGGGTACGGTACATTCGTAGTTCGCTAGCGACTGATTATGGTTTTTTTTCAAAACATAACACACGTACAGTGAGACGACAAAGTGAGTAATATGTAAGCTAAACTTAGAATACTAGATGAAAATCTGAAATCGGTTAAGGCTATTATATTTTATTGACTATGATAATTGAGACGTATGTCATGTCATTAATCAATCATATCACTGACTGTTCGTAGGTACAAACTACTACTACTAATACTACTGTTAGATAATGTGAATTGATGATTAGAGGTACTGGGTGATATCAGTGAAAGTCGACCACAGTGATATAGGTCCATTCACTCGATCATCTTGATTTTTAATATTATTTCGTAATTATCATTAATCCTAATAATTTTTCTACTCTATGGATATTCATTTCATCTGCTGAGATGGTGTGGTCCCTTCTCGTTGATCATACCTAATTAACTAACTGCTGATGATGATACCCAACAATCAACTTATTCATAATAAATAATAACTGACTTCTCAATGCACAGTTATGAATTAGTTCTTTGATCGTCTATAAATCAAGGTTGATCACTATCCTCTTTTTCATACCCATCGCATTTAACCTCATCTATGAATTCTTGATGAAAGTTGTCAACTTTCAAACAGACTAGATTTTTAGTTCAAATCTTGTTCTCTATAACTTAGGTATCAATTAGTTACCCAACTCCATGATACACGGTATACCTCAAGACTATATTCGTTGAACGTAGAATTAAATAAATAAAATTCACATTCATATACAAACTCTACATCGCAACTGTACATCAATCAACATGCTATCCTCTTTATTCTTTCCATTTAGTTGAGATCTTTTCTTTTCTTTAATAAACACATGATTATACATATAATGTTAAATAAATCACTCATAGATGAACACTTTAAAGAGTGTGAGAGAAAAAAAAGAGAATTGACTTAACTTAAATGAGAAGAACAATTAGAAATATATTTTCTTTCGTGAGTTTCTGTAAATAAAAGGTACACTTATTATTATTACTATTATTACTATTATTACTATTATCATCATTATTATTATTACTATTATTATTATTATTAGGATGGAAAATGTGCCAATTACTTTGATGTAAATAGTGTTTTGGATTCTGTATTTCACCTCGAATGTTTATCACACAAAATAGGTCATTGAATGTGATTAAAGCCCTTTTTCTTTAAAATTAATCTAAATAATATTGAATAGGTTGGTTTGAATAGTTTTTTTGCCCTGGTTAACGATCTTTTTAAAAAAATGATTTATTTTTTTTACAGGATGAAATTGCTAACCCCCATATCCAACCTTTCTTATTTGCTTGGGCTTAGAATCACCAGTAAACTTAATGAGATTCCAGTTGGGGAATTAACGATACAGTAATGATGATGTTAAAGTGGTCGTTTTTTTCTGTCCGACTAATAGTCAGTCATATAAAACATAGGACCTGGTATACATATGTACCAACTCAAGCTGCTACATTTTATCGACCCGTTGAGATGAGAAAATTGAGCTTAAGTATTTTTAGAAGTAGTATCTGAGCGGTTCTCACTTCTCAGATGGTCATATTTAAGAAGACTATGTGAATCGATTGGAAAAGAATCTTGATTAGTGGTGGTTTTGGTTTCCACACTCAATGGGATAACTGCTTTACACTAGTCACACTCATTCAGTCTTCTGGCGTGTTGTTCTTGATGTGTTTGCCCCGCGCTTATAAAGCCATATAGTTGAGAACTGGGATCCATGTGTTATGGTGAGGTGTGCTATATTTAAGGCATATTCTTTTCGATCGTCTACCTTCTTTTTGAAAGACAGCATCTCTTCAGATGCTGGTTGTCTGAGGGAAACACCTGTCACAACCCAGTTCAGCCTACAGTAAAACTTCGTCCATAAATTTCGGGTTGATGCTTGTAGTCCTACCTCTCTCCAGCCAACCCGTTTATCATGATAGGATTTAAAAGAGTAAGTATTTCAGCCAATATACCCCATTCCAATCTTCAGGATATACGACTCCGACTGTCACATCAAGTTAGGTAGCTGCTAATACGGTCGAACCGCCTACTGTTATTCTATTTAATGGTAAATAATAATTGTCATTTGAATGAAATGGTAGGAGAGTGTAAAATATGTCGTTTAAAAAACTGTAATCTTTGACTGAGATATAACGCCATAAGAAGACAATATTTTTAACCAGAAATGTTTTTGAAGAGAATAATGAAATCCTAAAATGTATGATCTCAGTGATTACCAATTCTTAAGCCTTACTCGATTTTCAACGGTTATTTCATACTACTGACATTTTGTCTGTTTGGTTCTGCATCAAGTGTCTTGTCGCTTTATTAGCTTGAACGTGAGTCTGCTAATGATTATTCTATCACTAACAGTCATTTAATCAGAATCAAGGAATGTCATTTCTTACACTTGAGCCACTAACGTGCTATTGAGATATTCGGAAAAAATTGCATGTAATCAGATATAGATGGTTATAGTCAGAATATAATATTTATTAGGGGTTGACAAAGTAATAGGAACTATAACAATCTTAGATAAAATACTATCAGAGTTAGTTTTACTTGGGTGTCCTACACCGTTAACAGATACTCCACCTTGTGAAGTGCCTAAAAAAAGTAGACTTGACTATTAGGGAACGTTTTTTTACCTGAGAGCATGTTTTTAGTTATAAGGGACAGATGCTTCAGACTATTCACACACATCGTTTTTCGAGTAACATCTAATAAATTATCTCGCCACTTCTAACACTCAACTAGTGGCAGTGATAACTTGTTGAATAGAGTGAAGTGTACTATTTTCAAAGTTTCATCATTGTCTAAAACTTTTACCTACCATTCAGTACGTTGCTTGTTACTTGAAACTTGACCTTCTTAGAGATTGAATCGTACGTTCAGATAGGTTTCACTGCAATCATACGACAAGCATCTAGTATATTTGATAAATATATAAAGTATATTGTGTAGTCATTCGAATTCAATTGACTGCTTTTTTATCGTCAATTCATCATTATAACTCTCTAAATTGTAATATGTCATTTGTACGGATATTATTCGATTAATATACCATCGTTATTTCCAACAAGTAGATTTCAATTATAAGCTTTTGATTATTCTTAGGGTGATACATCTGTACAAAGCAGAATCTTATTGCTACCTTACATTTCAAAACGACATGACAAATATATTGAGTTATACTGAAACTGAGAAGCTAGATTAAGATAAATTGTGGATTTGTCTCTACCCGATTGTGAATAATCCTGAGACATGTTACTCAGCGTGTTCAGTCACTGATTGTTATTATCAGCATACGAACTACAACTAGGCTAATCTAACTTTAACACAATAAGGCTCAAATTAAAAGTCAAATTATCTCACTCCTCCTGTAACTCTTTGAAGTTATTCTGAATCCAGGTACTATTATTATACATCAAAGTAGATAAAACACCAATTCATACAATGTCATCGATTGTTTATATCACATATATGTGTATGTTTTTTTATGGATAAGATTATTCGCAGACTTCTTCGTTCACTTAAATGCTGAAATCTATGTTTCAGGGCTGGCACTATATTATTATGATTATTATCCCTAACTGTACATGTCATGTTGTTTATAAAGCAGATTTTTTAGATTGTATAAGTTCCCGTGTGGTTGCGGCGTAATGATAGGAAAGTACTCTCTCTCCTGTCTCATGTCTGATTATCGATTAATTTACCTATATTGAAAACAGGACCGGTGACTTTCTAGTTATCAATTCGACAGTTAATTTATGATTAATCTGGAACAATGAGGCGTATGACAGCGATTTAAAAATCAAATGAAAGCTTAGAAATCGGTGGATATAAAAAATGCAACCATATACACACGAATCATATTCCTGCACTATTCATTCGATTATATAAATATACTTACGTCGTTTTGTCTTTTTTTCCCGATAAATGCTTAATCTCTTCCTTTATTTTATTCAGCCTACAAGTCGATTCCTTCATCAGTCAACACAATTAGTTAATACAAGTAGTAATTCAAGCTCCACACCTATATATTCATGGAATCCTTCACAAATCACATCAAATAGCAGTAATGTTACCACTGGTATTTTGAATAGTGCTCGTGGTGTTCCACATAATAATCATAACAGTAATAATAACACTACTAATAGTACAGATTATTCTTCATCAACTCCTACTCCCCGTGATCACGTTTCACAGTGGCAAGATGTAAGTTATATGAGCTAGTTTTCTTTTTTTGTTTTTCTCTTCACTGTTGTCTTTTCCAATAGGATGGATTTGTTTTTCCTATATATATATATATATATATATATATATATATATATATATATATATTGGTTGGGTAATTTTTCACTTGTTACATTGGTTGCCAATGTGAATAATCGTGTTAATATACTGTATGTGTTTGTGCTTCGGGCGAGACTATATTTTATGAACCACCCTTCTGGAGCAATATTAAATTGACCCCGAGAAGCTTCAGTAACTTACTGTGTTTAAAAGAGAGTTATAAATCGATGTGAGGGATATTAGTACAGGAAGTTAAAGTCAGTGTTATCAACGCAATTGACATCAGCTATCATGCCAAAATGTTATTAAGCCATATGGAAGAGTGAATTTCCCGCCTAAGTTCAGGAGTCTCAATCTTAAATATGATTGGTTCATTCATTAATTATAGTCCTGGCATTAAATCATACAGCTTTTGACAAATGGTAAAATATCATAGAGTTGAACACTTCAGCCTTAAGCTTTCTTTAGTTTATTAAGACAATTGCATAGTACGATTAGTAGTGTTGATCACAATGTCAAATACATGAAATATATACTTAATAAAAGCAGTTACAAACAACATTATTATCGTGACATGAGCTGAAGCTGGGTAATCTTATGATTTTTTGTTTACAGTAGTCGAAAGCTTTTGCACATTGGATTGAATATTTCAACTTCATCATACCTTATTTGGATTTAAATAGCTGTTAGCAGTAAATGTCTCAGATTACGAAGCTGGATGACGCCAGAGAGCATTAGACTCCTCAACTTTATATAAGTAGGTCTTGCCGAAGAAGTTAACAGAGTTTAATTCCTGCCGGCTGCCTCCAACCATTTAAGATCTCACCGGAATGCAAGGGTTGTTAGGTCATTTATACAAATTGTGACAGTGCAACTTCATCGATAGAATTCGATCGGCATTAAAAGGACCAGAAAAAATATGAAATTGGTCATTACTACTTAGTCATATAGAAAGCCAGTTGCAAACCGGATATCTCAGGGGTAACATCTGAGAGTGTGAAGCTGGGCGATGCAGGTTCAAATCCTACAGGCGGCATCAGTTCCTGCAATAATTTCAGGTACGCTTGATTGATTTTGTGTCCCAAATATTACGGAACATAGACTCATGACTTTCCTTCGACAATCAATGTTAGCGTGATATGGAATGGATTAAAGCATGTTCTGTACAGGATTGTGTTGGGGCACGCTGATTACCTATTTCTTAACCAAGCGGCGCTAGCGGGCACTTGGGGGAGACTTTAGAATCTTCTTATGCAAAAAATCATAAGTATACCAATGTTTTTCTTATTGTAATTTTTACTTCCATCCACCCTTGTTATTTGGAATATAATTACGTTTCTATTCAACCGTGTTCTCATTTGGGGACTTGTCGAGTGAAGTAATGTCCAAAATTACTATGCAATAGGAGTAGTTGGGTCGTAACAAGAGAAAACCATATCAACTAACAACCTTACATCGGGTATTGAACAGGTTAATTATACCTGACTGATTACTATTATTCCCATGATGATGTATCTATATATTAGATTTGTTACTTAGAGGAATTATATGCTAAATAAAATGTAAAGATGACACATTATGTGTGTTTGTCTTATTTCTTTTTGTGTATATGTAAGAAAATGTTATAGAACAAGGTTTCAATAAGATCTTACGCAAAATAGTTGATAAAATTGTTTTCAGTGGAAAAAATAAAGTAAAGACTTCATCTCGTTCACTTCTGTTGGAATTGTCTTACCAATTGCTTATCAATCTGTCAACTGAAAGTAGATTAAGGGAAAATACTTGCAATATCTAACTGTCGATTCTACAGTTGGAATACTTCGTCAACAATTCATCACTGCATAAAATCTATGAATAGAGGATAAGAAAGATATTTTGAGCAAACATCACATCCCTCTTGTCAACTCATCATTACAGTGTAATAGATACATATATTAGAATGTAAGTTATGTGCCTATTATGTCAATTCGGCTGTGGAAACAAATCATTTGTTTTAAGAGTGAAGGAGAACTAAGGACTTCAACTGTCCAGTCTATATTGATTGATCTATGCTCATCCTAAACAGATCGCTTCTATGCTATACCATTTTTGTCACGAGCTCTTATTTTGAATAGTGGCTAAAAGTGGAATTGAAGTCTCATATTTCATCATATTTGATACTTGTCTTATGAACTCTTATAGTTATATAGACTCAGTTGTTCAGTGAATAACTCGTTTGGCATGTAAAACGTTAGGTAATTAAACTGTAATCTCAGTATGTACATCAACATTAGGATACAAGGATATCCAGTTGATGAGTGCCACATAAGACGAATTGTGTTTCCTGAATTCCACTGATTCGTTAAAATTGATAGTAGAATTCTAACTGTTACCCCAATTGCTACAAAATCTGTTAATAGTGACACTAATCGTTTTATGTTCTGCTTTGTTAATAGATATTGTGTTTGTAATTACAAGTTAACTACGTGTATATCTACTTCATTTATTCCTCTCCGATTTATCACAATTTCACCTCATTATTTATTTGAAACACTTCATTATGTCTTATGTTATTACTAATTGGTAACTGTTAAGTGATAGTTATTGTACGTGTTACGTAATTTGGTATTGTATGTATGTATGTATGTATTTACATACACCTACACACAATATCCATTGTTCTCATCAATAAACCTACTGTGGTGTGAGCTACTTATATTGATATAAGTAGTATATAACGTGCGTTAAAAGAACGTAATGTCCGGCAGCAGATGGCGAAGATCAAGAAAGGAAGAGCAAGAACACAATGCAATTGTAAGAAAACGCATGTACAATGGAATGGGAGACAATGGATTAGTGTTTGCAACGGGAATAGTACAGTTTGATATGATGGAAGGATATTTTGCAAATTGACGATTGACTTTATGGTATTGACATTATATTGAGATAGTCTGTAATTTTTGTGCCAAATACAGTCGATTGTCCCCACCCGTGTTCTTGTTCACTACACTACTACTGCTCACGATCACCATATGAATTTACTAATATTACATAAGATATTCACGTTTAATATGTTAGTGTATTACTACTGATGATGATAACAATGATATGTAGTTGAATTGTCGTTTTTATTGATTAACAGCTATACGTAATTAATTTCTTCTATTCATGTACATTTACGGGATATATTTTTGTGTAGACTATGAAGATGTTGATAATGAACGAATAAGTATTGTTTAATGTTCTTTACTTGATTAGTGTGACATCAATCTATTGATAAATATTCTATTTATAAATGCTAAAATTCTCAACAAACTAATTTCCTATTAGTTATAGTGAGTTGATTTGAAATAAATGAAAGTAAATATTCAGAATCTAGATCATATATACTTAGCTATTTAATTTCTATTTCAATACACACTACTAGTTGTGTTAGTACTTGAGAGGATATCCAGTAGTAGGCTAATCAAGATATGACATCAGTGTATAATATTGTTGTATAATTGTTTCAATGTATTATATGCAATGATATATGTATATAGTTTGTTTTAAGATTATACAAAATAATTATAATCTATGATGAAACGATGAATACATTTGATTACTTCAAATCAATTAACTTATATACGTCAAAATATTTTGTTTTCTTTTTAATTCCATTTATTTATCATTCATCAATCTCCATGATATATGTACTTTGGAATTGTTCTCTCTTTTTAGTTTTAGTTTTTATTTGCGTTACATTTAGTTTCTCACTATGATTTTTTATTATTATTACTAACTTAGTCATACTGTTGGTTACAACCATTGGATCATTTCATGAAATGAGCTGAATTAAACTTCTAGATTAATATTGTATGATTGAAGTGCTCACTTACTTACTTACTTACTTACTTACTTACTTACTTACTTACTTACTTACTTACTTACTTACTTACTTACTTACTTACTTACTTACTTACTTACTTACTTACTTACTTACTTACTTACTTACTTACTTACTTACTTACTTACTTACTTACTTACTTACTTACTTACTTACTTACTTACTTACTTACTTACTTACTTACTTACTTACTTACTTACTTACTTACTTACTTACTTACTTACTTACTTACTTACTTACTTACTTACTTACTTACTTACTTACTTACTTACTTACTTACTTACTTACTTACTTACTTACTTACTTACTTACTTACTTACTTACTTACTTACTTACTTACTTACTTACTTACTTACTTACTTACTTACTTACTTACTTACTTACTTACTTACTTACTTACTTACTTACTTACTTACTTACTTACTTACTTACTTACTTACTTACTTACTTACTTACTTACTTACTTACTTACTTACTTACTTACTTACTTACTTACTTACTTACTTACTTACTTACTTACTTACTTACTTACTTACTTACTTACTTACTTACTTACTTACTTACTTACTTACTTACTTACTTACTTACTTACTTACTTACTTACTTACTTACTTACTTACTTACTTACTTACTTACTTACTTACTTACTTACTTACTTACTTACTTACTTACTTACTTACTTACTTACTTACTTACTTACTTACTTACTTACTTACTTACTTACTTACTTACTTACTTACTTACTTACTTACTTACTTACTTACTTACTTACTTACTTACTTACTTACTTACTTACTTACTTACTTACTTACTTACTTACTTACTTACTTACTTACTTACTTACTTACTTACTTACTTACTTACTTACTTACTTACTTACTTACTTACTTACTTACTTACTTACTTACTTACTTACTTACTTACTTACTTACTTACTTACTTACTTACTTACTTACTTACTTACTTTTGCCTGTTAATTCCAATGGAGTATAGGACCCCGACCAGCATTCTCCAACCCACTCTGTCCTGGTCCTTCCTTTCCAGTTCTATCCCATTTTTGTTAATTTATCCCATGTCTGTCTCCATTTCTCGGCATAATGTGTTCTTTGGTCTTCCTCTTCTCTTTTGACCTTGAGGATTCCGTCTGGAGGCCTTCTGGGGCTACTGCCGGTCCCAAAACCCGGATAAAGAAGAAAAATTGGGCTTGGAGTTAGCGACCCCATCCTGTAGAAAACTAATTCACTAAAAAAACGCTAACCAAGAAAATTATTCAAACCAGTGGAGTGTTCAGGTTTTAATTTATTTTAAAAAAATTAGAATAATTGAATGATGAATAATAAGTTCCACTTATCTATAGAAAAATTGTCAGTTTCATGGTCGATTTTATCTCCGTCGTCACTATAAAAAAGGAGATATTCTATAGTTTGATCAAACTAAATTTTAAATTTTTTTCATGGAGATCATGAACCGATTGATGCTAGACCACTATTGAAAACCTAGAAGCACTGAACGGCCGTTTGGTCTTATTGTGTTGCTGCTCAGCAGTGCACATCCACGATCCCGCCCGCGGGATTCGAACCCAGGACCTTCAGTCTCGCGCGCGAACACTTAACCTACTGGGTCACTTAGCCGGCATCCAATGGTGTAAATGTCTAACCTCAATCAATCCAGGAACTTGCGCGACCATCTTCCGTTGTACTGAGGTCTCTACCCGACACGGATTAGCTTCACTGATCACGGCTTCGCACTGAAACTCCGAGAATTCCCTCACGAAGCTAGTCACTAGTGTGCACATGGTAATTATCATTATAGGGGTTGTGGAGATTAATAAGTTCATGATCTTCATTAAAAATTAATAATCACCACAACCACTATACTGAAATTTTGACTGTTAAAATCAATGAATATAATGCTAATTGATGGATGAAAACAACGATAGAAAGTGTAACCCAGTTGATGGCTACTTACGAGACCGTATGATTGACTATTGCTCCTAAATGGTTAGAAATTAAAAACAAGACCGCTATTTAAATGAATTAATTCTTTGTGTAATAAAATAACATACTTATATACAGAAAATGAACACAAACATGTTAAAATGCCATAGGTGATTGAAGGGAATTAACTTGTAGATCACTCATTCTTCAATTGATCAAGATCTCACTGTCAGGCCTAATGCTTGAACATCGTATGAATTCTGTACCCCTTTTATTCTGACAATATCTACTCATCACTGTACTGATGTAAAATGACTCAGTAATCAAATAGTATTCTATTATTCGTTATAATTTACTATCCCAATGGCATGGATTAACATGCCGATTTTAGGACAGAATTTAATTTTTTTTATGGGTTTGTCACGTTGTTTTACAATAAAATACAATAATACGACTGGTAATCGAGATTAATATTACCACTAGACTGGATACTCAATTGACATGCTATACATAAAATGAACCACATTATACCAGGTACATAATTCACAAACAAATATAGACGATAGTCAAGACAATACTTGATTCAACGTAATTACAAGGTCTACACAACAAGTTCAGGGTGAAAATCCATAGTGCAGAAGTAACTAGTCCATGCCTAATGTTTAATTACATCTTATTTTCACCATTACACATCAAATAGTGGCTACTCCTCCTCTGAATGACCACATCAATTTAGATCTGTCCATTTACAGTCCTAGTTGAAAGTAGGTTTTCTTTAAATACTTCTAAAATGCCACCTTTTGATTTCTTGTTATAATAAAGGATTCAAATAATGTCAGCTTACCTGTATTGACTTGTATCTCGGCTGTAAAACCGCTTATTCATCTCTGAAGTCGAATATCTTAGTACTAATCAGTTCAGTTGACTGACTCATTCCTCAATCTTAATGCATTGTATGTAACATGGTCACAAGTGCTTTTTGATGATTAGTTTAATGTTATATATATATACATATATACTTGACGTCCATACTTTTATATGACTTAACTATTTGTTCCTTTTGTTCTGTCTTTCATGTATTCACATATTCATCCCACTACTCACATCTTCAATCCTCTTGTTGGCATCATCATCATCATCCTCTTTATTCAAATAATATCTAGTCCAAAGATTATAAACGATTATATGAACGAGAGAAAGAGGAAAGAGAACGACTTCAACGTGAATTAGATAGATGTAATCGTCAAATAAGTCAATTACGTCAGGAACAACAATTGAGAACTTCAAATGATCATAGTTATTCCAATACATCAGATACAATGAATATTCACAATTATACTAGTAGTAATAATTGTAATAATTCACAAATACCGGACACTGTAAGTATTACTTGTCGTTTTGTTTTTTGTTTTTCTTTTATAAAAAGGAAATCATTCACTGTTTTCATGAAATCATGTTTTACATTTTAGATGAATTATTTATAATTAGTTATGTTATAACCATCCTTTTCAATCTTGATTATTTATTGGATTGAATTTATTTTATTGTTAAAAACTAGGAGGAAGCCGATTCCATTACTTATTCATTCAAATCAATGAAGGTTCTCAGTAAAATGTTTATTTAATTTTCAATGATGTGTAAATTATCAACACTGAATAAAGAAAAACAAATAAGAGTATAATTTATTCAAATTGTAGACAGTGTACTTTTTTTTTCTCTTGTTGTTATTGAAAGTAACTAGGTAACTAGTACAGAAAAAAAAACAAGGAGATTATTATTATTATTCGAAAGAAGAGAAAAAAAACACATTCTACTCATAATTTAGTTCTGTTCAATGTATTTGACACTGTCTAGTATTACTGTCACCTCCTAGTTTGAAAAGCAATTTAATTTTTACATGAAATAATTCACCTTTTGTTGTTTTAAAATTAGGTAGACTGTGAAATAGTGGGAAGTTTTGTTCTGTGAGCTTGACGGTTTGATCGTGGAGATTTCATTGTTCTTCTGAACGATATGATCAGCACACAGTTTTCTGGTAGTTTTATCTGAGAACAAAACCCCACCATAATTAGGTAGATTGTTGATGTGTGTGTGATTCATTTTTGAAGATCTGTTGATTATACATGCTAGTGAAAAGTATATTTGGAATATCTAACAAGATAGAAAACAAGTGACTACTTGTATACACATTTTAAAGACTCTCATATTATATTCAAGGTGTCTGTCTGCGCCTCCAAATACCCTGGTACAGCCGAGAGTGAGGAGAGTCCGCTCTCCCTCTCGTAATGCTCTCACATGGCCACGCATATACAGCCTCTGCCAGGGAAGTCCTACTCACTGCCTTCTCGTGGCACCGGTGTTGTTTACGAAAATGAGAGGACGAAAACTGAATGTCCGGCGCTTTAACCGGATTCCAAACAAATGGTGCACATGGACTCCAGTATCCTGCGGGAACAAATGGCGTATGAACCAATCGTTGGTCACCGGCTTCCATGGGACTGCATATCCTTATGATGCTCTACTGCTTTGTGGATCAGGCCTTTGGGTCGAGGGCTCGGGGTGTGGCCCCTTAAGATAACCACCTGCTTCCGTTTGGGCACCCGGGCAATATCACAGCCCTCACACATATCGAATGAGATTTGTGTGGCGCATATGTATTTGGTGCCTCCTTGTACCAATATCTATGTGTTTAAATAAATAAATAATGAAATATATAGTGTCTGTATACTCGTAGCCATCTTATAGCATTTCGAGAGGGAGAGCTGACTCCTCCCACCCTCGACCGTAACAAGGTATTTTTCATTTTTTCGAACCACTTGGGTTATACTCCGCTACTATGAGAACCAAAAAGGAATGTATCAGATTGCCTAATAAGACATAAAAATCATTGTATTGTATGATGGTATATCATCTTGCACTATTGAAAAGTATGATTTCTTTACGTCCAATTATTGTATGTCTGTATGAATTAATTAACTCAAATATGTTTAGTAAATAATTACTTATTTAATTCATTCAGTAGGTATTTGTGCATCACCCAAACTTTTATTTTGAGGGCTAATGATACTAATCTGTTGCCCAGACTTGAAGATCTAGATGGGGTGGGGCTCAAATACATAAAGGGAAATAATTTAATTTTTAGTATTTCTCGCTGTCTATATCCGGTTGAAGGTAATAATTAGTGGTTCTCTCTCTCTGTTTGAGTAATAACATAAACTACTAGAAGTAGTTGTAGATAGTGATTTTTCTTCTGATATGAGACAGTCTATGGAGAGTATGTGAAATTTAAGTAATCTTGCTCATAAATATAAACGATGAAATCTATGTGAAAACATGAATTCATAGTTATTTTTTCTTATGCTTATTGTATAATGTCCGTTTGATAACTGTTTCACTATTGATATCATCTGATCTCTGTCAATGATAATTTCTCCTTAGAACTTCAATTATGATCAGTAGCATAGATGTTGTACTGTTAAAAAGTTTCATACAGGGATAAAACAAATATCTAGTAATCTCTCATCAAGACGAATACCATCTACAATTTGAAACAATCTTGACAAAATATTCAATGGTACTCTTAAAATGTTAATTATATTTAGAAAAACTATTAATTCTCTAGATTTAAGTACACTTAATTGGAAATATATATTTATATAAAGTTTTGCTCAAATCAATCATTTTCTTATTATCTAATAGCCCATGTAAGGTTTAATGGGGTTGTTTTGTATTCATGATTATATAAAACAGATTCTATAAATTCACATTATACATAAGTTTATTAAAACGATGGCTATATATGTATATATTGCTATCATGTGAACTGTATATACTAGATGACTGGGACATAAGATTTTTTTGTTTGTCTTTATTTATTACTATCATCATCTTATGAGAATCATCTTTGTGAAATCATTTGATATCGTATTTTGTGAAAATTAGTTAGTTAGTTAGTTAGTTAGTTAGTTAGTTAGTTAGTTAGTTAGTTAGTTAGTTAGTTAGTTAGTTAGTTAGTTAGTTAGTTAGTTAGTTAGTTAGTTAGTTAGTTAGTTAGTTAGTTAGTTAGTTAGTTAGTTAGTTAGTTAGTTAGTTAGTTAGTTAGTTAGTTAGTTAGTTAGTTAGTTAGTTAGTTAGTTAGTTAGTTAGTTAGTTAGTTAGTTAGTTAGTTAGTTAGTTAGTTAGTTAGTTAGTTAGTTAGTTAGTTAGTTAGTTAGTTAGTTAGTTAGTTAGTTAGTTAGTTAGTTAGTTAGTTAGTTAGTTAGTTAGTTAGTTAGTTAGTTAGTTAGTTAGTTAGTTAGTTAGTTAGTTAGTTAGTTAGTTAGTTAGTTAGTTAGTTAGTTAGTTAGTTAGTTAGTTAGTTAGTTAGTTAGTTAGTTAGTTAGTTAGTTAGTTAGTTAGTTAGTTAGTTAGTTAGTTAGTTAGTTAGTTAGTTAGTTAGTTAGTTAGTTAGTTAGTTAGTTAGTTAGTTAGTTAGTTAGTTAGTTAGTTAGTTAGTTAGTTAGTTAGTTAGTTAGTTAGTTAGTTAGTTAGTTAGTTAGTTAGTTAGTTAGTTAGTTAGTTAGTTAGTTAGTTAGTTAGTTAGTTAGTTAGTTAGTTAGTTAGTTAGTTAGTTAGTTAGTTAGTTAGTTAGTTAGTTAGTTAGTTAGTTAGTTAGTTAGTTAGTTAGTTAGTTAGTTAGTTAGTTAGTTAGTTAGTTAGTTAGTTAGTTAGTTAGTTAGTTAGTTAGTTAGTTAGTTAGTTAGTTAGTTAGTTAGTTAGTTAGTTAGTTAGTTAGTTAGTTAGTTAGTTAGTTAGTTAGTTAGTTAGTTAGTTAGTTAGTTAGTTAGTTAGTTAGTTAGTTAGTTAGTTAGTTAGTTAGTTAGTTAGTTAGTTAGTTAGTTAGTTAGTTAGTTTATTAAAACTCCGGCAGTGCTATATACACAAACCAACTCGGGATCGAGCTTAGTGCAATTATTGCTGACATGATGTAACATTATATCTTTCGATCATTCAATAGTAATTTCACAATCTTCACCGTAAAATTATCCATTTGTCCATACAGTGTGATCTTCAGCCAATGTCGCATTATCCACTACTTACTGTCTTCCATTTTGAACTTGTTGAACCCATCACATTCTTTAACGAGTATTTCTGTGTAAACCAACACACCGACTAGTTTAATTATATTTACTGTTTAGCAAGTTATTTGTGATATTTGGTTTTAGTGCTTCCTCGACTGATTGACAATAACCATCAAATAGATTTCATGTAATCTATAGTCTACTAAAATAAAACCATTTTTTAAAGAAATAAATCAATTGAATATTTTTCTATGATTTCCTGAAATTTAATTAAATTTACATCTGACGTTATTGAAAACCGGTGATAAACAATTATTAACCTTCGTATGTTGATTATTGTGTCTTCTGTGGTTGATGCATTTAAATTTGACTAGGCTTATCCATCTTTTTTCCAATGTCCGATATCCTCCAGTATTTTCAGACATTTTTTTCGTCCATTTAGTAGATGATTGTTCCATATCAGAACGTGCTATCTACTAGAGATTTCATTTCAAGGTTCTTAAGTTATATACATTTGTTCTCTATGAACAGATCAGAGTGAAATGCATCTGTATTAATATCGTATCCAGAGCCATGTCACCAAACGCCGTCCAACTACTAATCACATTCCTTACACAATATATACAACTACGTGATCTATTCACAGTTTTATTCGCAAGTTTAGTACTCGGGATTTCTTCTAGCAATAAGAAGAAAAACACATTGATCTACTTATAAAAAAATGGATTTTCTACTGAATTACTGTAAATTATTTCTTCTTTAGTAGTTCATTGAAATAATAATTCTGGGACATTATTAGACAAGAATACTTTTTTTTTCTTTTGAATGAAAAACATTTTATTGAAAACACATTCAATATTCATTTTGTTTAGTTACACAAATCTGATCTCGAATGCTTCAGTTAGATCAGCCAAATGATATCAGTACGTGCTACACCTAAATAAAATAACAAGGTTATTAATGAATTTATAGATTACATAGATGACGATTATATCATCTTTGTATGACAATAAGAACCGATTATTCGTGTCAAGTTTCGATGTAATACATTCTAAGCCGATTATTATTATTATCGTTTTATAAAAGAAATCAATACTTCTTCATGTTCAACATACCATATTGTTACCTGTTAGTGTCATAACTGTCATATGATTATCGATTAGGTGTTTAGTTGATTATATGTTTCTCTCTCTCTCTTTCTATACGTATATGGGTGTACATCTGTGTACTTGTGTGTGTTGTACAATACAGGCGGCCTATGAACAATATACTTGTTCATACATACACACAAAGTTACTGTAATCTATGTAATACTGAACAGCAATGCTCGTGAATCCAATCTTAATTTCACTGTTCACTTGATGAAATACCTGGGGGAAGTGTTTCCTTTTGTGTTCATTATAAGTGTTATTTTCTGTTATTCTCTCATTGATTAGCTAACATACAAAAATTAACTGAATAAACTTATTTAATTTAAAGGTCACTAATAAATCTTAGAACTTCATTGTAATTATCACTAGTACTTCTACTGTGCTACCATTACTACATGCTTCTTTCTCTTTTATTCTACTTCTAGAATTTATGAAAAATTTAGAAAGCCGATCACAGTAAATAATTATCATTTATTGCCTTATTAATTACACTGTAAATGTGATAAGCCTTGATTACTTCTAATTATTAACACTGACATGTAGACAATATAGATATAGTCTTCTCCTTATCTCCCTTGTCCCCCACCTCACTTGCACCTTAGCCAATTCATCAGAAGGAAAAATCGATAGTACCGTGACTAGAACATTTCTGTTTGAATCGCCACCAACATGATTGATTTGATTTGATTAATCGAGAAGTAACTAACTTTCTTTGTATACAGATGTTTTCTTAAATTTCGTGTGTTAGGGGGAGCACAAATGCTTATTAAAACGATAAATGAATCAATAAAAGGAAAGGGTTTTCGATCACACGTTGGTGTGAGTAAAAACCGTCAGAGGCAATGCCGCAAGGGTTGTTTTTTAGCCGTCGAATCATACATTCAACAAATCAAATTGATTGTCTTCATTATTTCTCAATTAATACTTCATTTAGTCGCCACAAAACTGATGTTTTTGTCAGGCGCTGTTTTTGAAACATCACTACAATGAATTAAAACTTTGTTAAAAGATGGAGATCATCGATGAAGTGTGGATGATGTGTTAGCAGAAAAAGAACAAGTTCTTGTTTGATATTGGGGCCTGAGTTGTCGGACTATTATGATAGAAGTCGTAGTTTCATCTAGTTCCATTACTGATTAATTCGCCTCATTTGCTTTCATAGGACCTTATGGCCTTTCTTTAACCGGTGAGACAATCATCTTGTTTTGACCAGTAATTCAATGGAGGTGAGAGCACTACTGAGATCAATACTTAGCACCTAATGGATCTGGATGCAGATCCCCACTCTCGTTTACCCAATATCCAGAATTGAACAAGAATATAGCAAGCAGATAAACTTCTATTATAAGATCCAGTTCATAACTTCAAACTTGTCTGATAATGCATGACCGCACAACAGTATAAATAGGAAAGTACAATGTTTACATCACTACACCATAATTGAAAGAGAACTGAATAATAGATCCATAATGGCTTGACAATATTTGCTCCATTATGGTAAATGGATATATATATATATATATATATATATATATATATATATATATATATATATATAATGTATGATCTCGATGTAGTCGGTTTTAAATCGTAGTTTTAGTTTAAATACCATTGACACTATCCGCTTAACTCAATTCAAGTTAGATTTAACTAATTTCGATGCTCAGATACTATGATTAAACCTTAATTACTCGTGTAGTATTAGATCATTTTTCTATTATTTTGTATCTGCTAAAAGAACAATATTATTATTACGTGAATTTCTTTAAAATCACGAATCAATTTAGGTTAGACGACCAAACAAATGTAGAAGCACTTGACTGCCGTCCATGTTGACTATTACGTCGACCGATATTGATTTTTATCTCAATGGTGAATTTATTTTTCAATCTTATGTTTTTCTTATATTCTCGCATTAATCGCTTGTGCTGACTTCAGTGACAGTTTCGATCAGTTTATATGTCATGAATACAAAAGCTTTATTTTTAAAAAAATACTCAAACATTTATTTCATTGAAAAGCTGTGATTAGTGGAATTCAGTTATGTCGGTTATAAAACAGATATCCACCGTAAACAGTATCATGAACTGATTGAAGTGAAACATATTTACCATTGAATGCAGGCTCAGTGGTTTATAAGTTAGGTATTCGCGCGCGAGACTGAATATGCCAGATTCAAGTCATATATTCGGGTTCGTGAAAACGCACTTCTGAAGAGTCCCATACTAGGATGAAAGAGCTGTGCAGTTCTCCCAGATTTTCAATGGTTGTCGAATATTGATCACTTCATGTTTCCCCAAACCTATACTGATAATCTTAAATCTCGTTTATAAAACGGAACTATTGTATGTGAACTTCAAAAAAATGGGAATCACTATCATATACAAAACTAAATTTCAACTTCGAAATTCCTTTTGTATCGTTTATAATCCGTGAAAATTTCTTTGTTTTAATTCTATCTTTATTTTTTCATTAAAAATTTTATTTATCATCATTCCTTCCATTATTCTTCAGTTAATTCGTTCACAACATCGATCACGTATTCCTCGTTATACAACATCACTTCATCATACATACAGGTTGTCAATTAAATCACCTACTAATAATTATCTTATCACAATAATATATAATGATTATTAATTTATTTCAGCTTGTTTCATAGTGTTTGTTGTTAGTGTTGCTTTTCATTATTAAGTCTTTTGTTTTATACTACTTACAAGTAGTTAGACTTTATTAATCATCATCAAGCATTACTAATTAATATCTACTGATAATCTTTTATTCTTTACATGTGCATGTTTATCGAATTTCCGTTCCTTATTTTTTCATTATTATTATTTTAAACGTTCTATTTTCAATGAATATGTTGTTAGTTTAAGTTATTTTATAAAAAATGAACCAAGGTGAAGCAAGTCCTGTAACACAATGTTTGTTATTTTCTAGTCGAAAATTAATTATATCCAAGTTTAGTTTGATAATTTTCTGTTATGAATTATTTTCATTTGTAGCTCTTGTAATTTCTTTCTTTGAAATTAGTGAGGAGTTAACACATTCAACTATTCCATGTGGTAGGTCATCGGTTCGAATCAGTTTATCATGTTTCTGTGTACGGGTTGAGATACTTTCCGGGTGCCCAAACCGAAGCAGGTGGTTATCTTAAGAGGCCACATCCCGAGCCTTTGACCTAAAGCTTTAATCCACAAGGCAGTGGAGCATCGTAAGGAGATGCAGTCCCATGGTAGTCGGTGACCAACGATTGGTTCATACGCCATTTGTTCCCGCAGGATACTGGAGCCAGCCATGTGCACCATTTGTTTGGAATCCGGTTAAAGCGCCGGACATTCACTTTTCGTCCTCTCATTTTCGTAAACAACACCGGTGCCACGAGAAGGCAGTGAGTAGGACTTTCCTGGCAGAGGCTATATACGCGTGGCCATGTGAGAGCATTTGGAGAGGGAGGACGAACCCACCCCGCTCTCGGCCATGCCAGGGCATTCGGGGGCCGGTTCGAATCCTACTTCCATTATTTTACATTGGGCAGTTGAATTGGTATGACTAACTTTTACATAAACAAATGTAACTCAAAATTGAGTGTATAAGATCTACATTTGATACTAAAGTTATATGAATGCTTTTAAAAAAAAAAGACATCCACTGAGAGTTATCATTTAGCATTCTAACCTATTCAACCCCATTACTTAGTCTTATGTTTTAAGAGTTGGTTCTATTGTCACCTAACATTAGTTCTTTTTACGTTAGATTTACTATTATTATTATAGCACGCCAATGGTGCTTCATTTCTATACTAATCTTAGTTTGTTTGGTTGCATTCATATGTTTTCTTTATATCTCTTTTTCTCCAATTTATCGATAATTTATGTTATCATGTTCGAATTATTTATCCATCTGGTTAGATGAATAAATAGGTTGTTGAGTTTGAGAATTTTTATTCACTGACATATCTGAAAAATGTATTTTACGCATAACTAATCACTGCTTAACTCAATTTTTCTACGTTGATCAACGTATGACTTGATTGAAGAAGATAAAAAGGACTATTGGTGGTTATCAAATTTCAATTTGCCACTGCTCCTCTCTATTGTATTAGAATAAATTGTGTCTTGAAAGGTTTAAACCTTCTAGTTGTCATCTTTATTATAATAATTGTGATTGGACAGTTTTGATTACTTAGTTCGAAATCGATCACTATGACATTGATCTATTCACCTTATTATTCTTCTCTAGATATTGAATTTATATTATTAATCTTTATGTGGTGTGGATCGAATCAAGCTGAAAGAATCTTGTATGTTTTCGAATATTATCATATGACTTTATCTCTAGTTTAGCTTTTCAAGTTCAACGGATAACCTGATGAACATTAATCTTGTATTGTATAATTACTAGTTGATTTGAAACAGAAATCTGTATTAATCTAATAACGTAACTTTAATCACATGAATATTAAGTCAAACATTATCTACTGTCCTATTGATATTTCACTATTGACACTGATCATCTGCCCAATGAATGTAAAACAGTCTAATCACTTCCTTTGTATCGGATTCAAATTTTGTTTCTGTGGGAAATATGATTCTTCTTTTTGTAATTTGAAGTTTGTATTTGTATAATTTATTTGTTGCATAAATAAGTCTGTATATATCAGGTTAAAATCCCTGGAATTTTAAGGTTTCACAACGATAGATTGTTAAAAGTCTGTCTTATGATTTACATCATAAACGGAACTTAGTTTTTGAAATTAAAGAAACACTGAACGGCTGATTTGTCCTAGTATGAGATTTCTAAGTAGTGACCATCCACTATATAGTCGGCGGTCTAACCAAAATGATTGAGGTCTCGCAGTGACCGTTCAACCTTTTAAACACCACTATATCAGTATCGAATAGTCTACATCTTCCAATTTTATTAGTGGCTATCTTCTTCATATCCATATCAATGGCAGAACAACTATCGATTTCTTCCTGCTTTTCAATCCTTGTCTTATTAAAATAAGTTAGTTCACGATGTAAACTATAAAGGGCAACAATTTCCACAAAACGTTTTTACATTAATAAAATGCTTTGGCTAGATTGTCTTGAAATGAAATTTATTTAGATCGACATTACCATAATCACACCAATTAATTACACTTCCGATTTGAATTGGAGGTTGATAATAATTAGACACTTTCCATCATCTTTTTATATCAGTCACTACCAAACTGTTACTTAGCTCATGGTATTAAAAGTTGGCCATTCATATTAATATAGGATTATTATGTATCTTTTTTTCTCACATATTCTTTTCTTTAATTACTTCAGCTCCAGAATCGACTATACTCGTATGAAGACAAAATGAAAGTGAGTTAAAAACTCCTATCCACGAATAATAGTACCTTACCCTTACTTTATTCACAATGGTCGTTTGTTTTGTCTTCCTTTTTTTGGTGTCTAAAATTAATGTACAATGTATCTGAAATATCATATTCAACTATCATACAAAACATTTTACGTCACATCACCTTTAATGAGAAAGAAATCTGTAAAGACAACAATTCATGACACTTTCAATCGATAAATGTAAACTAATTCACAAATCAGTCAGTTACTTATCAATGATGGAAATCATCATCTAGGCTTTGTATTTTGTTGTATTAATAATTGTGCACATACAAAAGGAAAGAATTGTATGATAAAATAAATTTGTTGAAATCACTAGTCGATCTAAAGTTAGACAACCAATTCACAACAATCATTCAACCAATACTCCAATGTGACTACAATAATTACTGAATAGTATTGACCAATCAGAATATAAGAACATATCTATCAGTCAGATAATAGATTGTACTTAGAGATGATTACTGCCAAACTTTCATTTCTTCAAATACTTATGACACGTATTTGGTATTCTACTAGCGTCTATTTATTTAAACACATAAACATCTGTACAGGGAGGCACCAAATAGATATGCGTCACATGAATGATTCGATTCATGTGAGGGCTGGGATGCTACAGGGATGCCCAAACCGAAGCAGATGGTTTTATTAGGGGGCCACACCTTCAGCCTTCGACCTAAAAGTCTGATCCACAAGGTAGTGGAGCAACATCAGGAGATGTAAGTACCATGGTAGCCGGTGACTAATGATAGGTTCATACGCCATTTGTTCCTTCAGGATACTGGAGCCCATGTGCACCATTGGTTTGGAATCAGGGTTTTTCAACTCCCTCTAGGTGGATCTTTGATATTCACTAACTCGGTTGAGGCGCCAAACATTCACTTTTCATCCTCTCGATTTCGAAAACAACATCCGTGGCGCGTTAATGCAGTGAGTAGGACTTCCCCAGCAGTGGGTGCATGCACGTGGCCATGTGAGAGCATTTCGAGAGGGAGAGTTGACTCTCCCCACTTTTGGTCGCACCAAAGCATTGGGGGGGGGCTACTAATGTTTACAATGGTAATTCAATGTATACATTTTTTATTGACGAATGTTTTTTTTCTACTTTCCATAGGAAATTGTTCGTTTACGTGAAGAAATTTCCAAGATGAAAGAAGAGAATGGCGCATTAATTCGTGTAATCAGTAAACTTTCAAAACCGATATAATCAATAAGATTTTTTTGTTGTTGCTTATCTCCTCTTTCCTATTCTTTCATTTAATTTGTGGTTTGATTCAATGTTTATGCATAATTGTGTGAATCTCTTTATTGGTTTGTTAGATTGCCTTTTTTCATTCATTTCATCTACATTACTGTTGTTTTTTTCTTGTTAACAGAAATTTATCCATTTTTTTTCTTCTTTATTTTATTTAAATGAATGAGATTGACATTGTGTGTATATGTTGGATGGGAGTAGAAGTGTTCCAATTATAGTCAACAAATGTTTACACACATTCATGTAACTGTTCATACAATTCATTTCATACATGATAGAATATTTAATCATAGACTTACAGGAATCAATGATTATTCAAGTCTAGAAATATCAGTGGTCATATATATATATGCTTATATCCGTGTCAAGTTTTCAATACGAACTATACCATGAACATTCAATGGGGGGGGGTAGTTACTTTTAATGGCCGACTCAACACTTTTTTAATTATACATATACACATACACGTATATATCATCTAGTTCCTCTTATTTGTCATTGTGGGAATAGCACGACCACAACTGCTACTGCTACTACTAGTGGGAATTTCTGGAGATGATAATATATGTTGGTCAATGAAATGTTTAGAATTTCATGGCTATAAACTATCTGTTAATTGTGTGTAACTATGCGAATTATGGAATACGTGCACACTTCTAGCAATATATTATTCATATATCATTATTACTTTGTCTATATTTCTTAATCAATGCGCCAATCTTTCAAACGTTTCTTTATGTTCATATCATTGTTGTAATATAGAAGTAGAAACGAAAATCAAAAAATTGGTGTCATTATTTACGATGATGATAATGATGATGTTGACAATGACTAATAAAACTTATTTTTATATTTCAAAAAGAAAAAAACAAAACAACTGAACTGATATACATAAGAAGGACACATGTTCATGTATGTTTATTTATGTTAGATCATCAACTATCCATCCATTTGTATATCATGGAGCGATCGATGTTATAGAATAAAACCTACTACTACTAGTAGTAGTAGTATTCTTGCATGGGTTTTATTCAGAAAAGATGGAACAGATTGCTAGAGATTACATTGTTCACTTTTTCTTATATTTCTAATGTAGATTAGATCTTGCCTACAATTATTGTCACATTGTTTGTGTATTTCCTTGTTGTTATTTATTTCAACTTATGTGCGTTCAACTACCTAATAAATAAATAAACTAATTGATTATTAGCTAACTATAACTAGTCTCTGTTCAATTTATGTGTTCAATATTCAATTTTTATTCATCTATTTGTAATATTCAATGATTTTGAACACATACTTTTCACCACCACCACCACCCCCCTTTCCTCCATCTATCTCTCGGTATATATATACATATTGTATGTGTACGTGTTTATTTATCTTTAAAAGAAAGAAAGATTAACTATTATGACTCGTATTTAATTTGTATTTATTGACAACAACCCCCCTATGTGTCTTTATAACATACATACATACACCAATAAAGTGCCTATGTCAAACTCCACTTGTCACTAACAATAATTGATACTGTGAATAAAAAGGATTAAGTATATTCTCTATTCATTTCACATTTGATTCGTTCTTTTTTGTTACATTGATACTGTATTATTTATTTGCTTATTATTATTACCATTATCATTATTATTATTATTACTACTACTACTGCTGCTACAATTTGTCCGTTAGTCATTTAGTGATTGTTTGCTTTCGAAAAGAAGGCATTTGTGGAATGTGACAATTTACTACTTATTTATCACAATGTTAGTATTATGACTATTATTTATGATTGTTTACCCTATTTTTACAGTTGTGTATATAATAACCATTTTCTTTTGTTTTTATCTTTTCCTGTTGAGTATAAAAACAGAGAGTGAGAGAGAGAGAATAGTACACAGCTAGACAGTAACAGAGAAAAAAAATTTGCATGTATATGTGACAGTAATTATTTGTGCTATTTAAGAACAATGTGTGGCTTATTAAAAGTATTTTGTGTATATTCTAGTCCACCATCATATACACATCACTTTACATATGTACATATATAAATTTAACGTACATACACACATAAATATTGAGTTCTGATCTATTGACCCTTTTGTTTTGTATTCAATGTATTTGTGTATTAAGTGACAAGGTAACTTAGGGACTAAACTACGTATACCAGTTGAATTAATCCAATAGACCAATAATCAGTGACTTCATTGACATGTATCACATTTTAATATTTTCAGATTGAAATCATGAGTCAGTTGAAGCTAGACCACCGCTGAAAACCTGGAAACACTAGACGGCCGTTTCGTCCTGGTATGGGACTCCCCAGCAGTGCGCATCCACGATCCCGCACCCCACGGGACTCGAACCCAGGACCTACTGACTTCGCGCGCGAGCACTTAACCATTAGACCACTGAGCCGGTATCCAACGGTGTTAATGTCTAACTTCAACCAATCCACGAAGTTGCGCCACTATATACCATTGTCTTCAGTGAGCTGATATCTCACAACAGACCTGGTTGAACTCCACTGGTAACGTCTTCCCACTAGAACTCGAGGAGTATTTCTTGAAGTCAGTCACCAGTGAGCAGATTATTATCAGAAGGGGTTTGTGAAGATTTTAGAAATTTTCACAGATTGAAATCATTTCTAGCTTTCGTTTTAATCTAGTATTATCCCAGCAAACATCCTGTATCTTGATAAATGACTGTTGGGCATACGTAATGTCTCAACTAACACGCTCATTAACTGATTTACTAGCTTTGCTTAGTGGCCTGCCTCTAAACTTAACATTGCTCGCTTAACTGTCCTAACAAACCTGGAAATAACTAATCGAATACTACGAACTCGCAAATGCTCCTTACTTTTAAATGCCACTAAATAAGAGCGGACTGCGGTGCCATATACTAGCCTGATCGTTGAGACAAACGTTTAGCTTACGACGTGTGTTAGGAAAAGGTAAAGTGAGCCTTTTAAATCATCCATGCCGAGTTTCCGTTAGTCACCAACTTATCGGGGTTGATGAAACTTACCAGGTAAGTGAAGTGGTATGTGTTCAACTACTTCAATTCCTACCGCTAGTTCTGGCGCTGACAGACTAGTGCTGAAGCAGTATTTCGCATTTAGAGAAAGCCGCATCCCAGACGTGTGTTGTGGAGCTGTTATCTTAATTATATAGTTCGTAGACAAATCAACCTAGTCACCGTTACTGCAATGGTTACCAAATGTATATCACATTCGAAAGTCGGGGAACGAAGCTCGTTTCGGATGATGCATTCCTAGCGAACAGCTGAAGTGGCGTCTGTTAAGATCATTGAGAACACCCAAGAGCTATCCAGTTATTCAATCTTTGTTTGAGACTCCTAGGCGCTAATTAGTCAGCTTTTCGCACTATATAGAACTTTTAGGTCTTATGATAAGCACAGTATCAATATGACTAGTGACTATGAAAACTACACAGTGCTTTTTCTATACTAGTACGTGCACTGCTGTGAAATAATGAATAGCGACAATCCCTCATAGTCGTCAATGATTCTTCGACTGATGACTTCAACTTGTGAGTACTATTATGTGAGAACCACTAAGTATGTTGTCAATGAAATAACATAAGGTCTTACCTAAATCACTCATCAAGCTGGATTGTTTCTGCATTAGAGGACCGATTGTCAGACGCTGAGCTGTCTAGGGTAATCAACGGGGATTGATCGATTGCATATCATGGCTCGGGTCACATGGTAGTATCTCTATACTCTGTACTTTCTCACCTATCCAACGTAGCAAATTACTTTGGTAAGATCCCATGTTCCATACAACCCCCAAAGAACACATATTGCCTGGTCATCACGACAGAGCAACCCGAGATAGGTGTTATTCGCGTATGACATTGTTATAATTCTCTCACGGTTATAACCAAGCTATTCCTATTGCTTAGTATTCTCAGACACCGATTCACTTGACAAGTCCCGCAAATCAGATCACGGTTGTACAGGAAAAAAGATTACATTCCAAATAACAAGGTTAGATGGAAGTAAGTAGTGTAGTAGGGAAAACGTTAGTATATTCATAGCTTTTCACATGAGATTTCTAGAGTGTTCACGAAGTATTGACTAACGCTGATTGGCTAATTCTTATCCAATCAGCGTGCACTGAGCATGATTTAATCCAATCTATGTCCAGCTAACAGATCTCGATATAAGAGTTAGGCAGTCATGTTATTCCCAATTAAATCGAGTTGATTTTACTATCCACAAACAATTTAAATATTGACAGATTAAAAAAACAAGATACATACAGATTCCAAAACGTATAAAGAAGAAAACATAAAAACGATAAGTTGTATATTTATGAATAATACAAGCATTGTACAATGTCAAACTGCTAGTAAAAAACACAAGATCAAGCAACTTAATTCAATGATATACTTCATTTTAATTGATGAACATTTTATTTGGAATAAAAGAATTATCACAAATCAATTCAATAGTTTATGAAACTACAAATATGTTACTTACTTACGCCTATTACTCCTAGATGGAGTATAGGCTGCCGATCATCATTCTTCAATTCACTCTATCTCCTGAGTCTTCTTTTCTAGTTCTATCCAATTCTTGTTTATTTCAAATATGTACATTAAATGATTTAAATAACAATATACTACTGAAATATATCAATGTTACTCTCAATGTCCACATGTTATATTCACAGTTCATTTGAACTAAATAATATTTCTGTATTATAATAACCATTCTTCTAATAAGTATTTCACATGATAATTTAAAAGATTTTTTAAATTTTCATCTAAATTCATTAAATAATTCATTTTTAATTTATTTTTATTTAAATGACAAGAATATGGAAGGATTGTAGTACTATTATTATCATCATTATCCATACTGTGATTATTATCATTATAATTCTTATTCATTGTTAATAAACCATATTCTATGGTATATAAAAATTTAGATAAAATAAGTTTAGTTATTTTTATAGAACATTGTATAGTTAATTGAATTGGTCCATTTAAATTATAACATTCCAATGGTATATCTAATGCTTTTTGACCAGCTCCACCAATAACATATACACGTCTATCTAAACCTAATGTTACAGTATGCCAATGACGATGAATTGGTTTATGAAATATTTTCATCATAATAGATGATGATGATGATGATGATGATGAAGATGAAGAAAAGAATTTCTCATTCATAGGAGTATTTCTAATATCAATATAAAATGGTGATTGACTATGATAACACTTTATTATTGACATGATTGTTTGTTGTATATATGATAATAAACGATCATCACTATATGTAGAATAATTCATTGGATTATGTATTTGATTTGGTTTCATTAATAATAATAATTTATTAAGAATGAATGGATTATTTACATCTAATTGATATATGGATAATGATGAAGAATTTTTTAAATATTGTTTTTTATACATATTGCATTGTGGTATTAATTTATGTAGTAATTCTAAACGATATTCATTTGTTAACCAACTATTTTTTTCTTGTAACATCATTTGAATAATTTGCCATGGTAACATAAATTTAAGAAACATACTTATTAATGTAGAAAATATTGAATTTTGAGTAGATTCTAAATCAGATTGATAATTATCACATATATTATTCAAATCTTCAATAAGTTGACTGTTTCTAGTCACCGTAGTAGTAGGAGAGTTCATCTTTGAATCTTTATCTTTTTCTTTATTGATAGTATATAAACAATAATTTTCATTTAAATATTGTATAAATATAGTATGTAATAAAGCAATACGATATAATGTTTCTTTAGGATTTATACATTTATTAGGTTGATAATTATAATGATTATGTACTGTAAAAGATGAATTTTGATACATATATAAATGATAATTGAAATCATGTAAAAATAAATTCAAATTATCTATCATACTACTACTACTATTATTATTATTATTATTATAAGTAGTATGATTATTGGCTTCAAATAATTCAGTCATCAAATTTGAATCTATTGAATAATACAATTGAATTAAATCTATATACAATTGTTCATTGAATAAAATTTCTCCAAATGAATTCACATTTAAATTAATATATTTCTTATCATCAATTGATTGTTGTTGTGAACATATATAACCATTTATTAAAGTTGGTTTATTTGAATCCGTATCATTATTCATTGGATTCAATGATTCAATATAATAATTTTGTTGTTTATTTAAATTCATTAAATAAGGAGTATTGTCCTTATTATCATTATTATTATTATTATTATTATTATTATTATTATTATTATTATTATATATAATATTGACCTCTTTTGTAGAATGAATAATTTCAGCTTTTAATTGTTTATATTGTTTACATAAATGAATATTTATTAAATAAGCATCATTTAATGATTTTTCATCATTAGAATAACCACCATGTAGAAACAATTGAATATTCATTTCATTCATTGGTTTATATTTAGAAGAAGAACAACAACAAGAAGAAGAAGAAGAAGACGAAGAAGAAGAATCGTTCTGTGTAGATAATGATTCATTGACAGCGATCATATTCATCCAAGATCGACCACATGGCCATATACATGATATTGTTGGTTGTTTAATATAATGATTACTTATTATATTTGGTATATCTAATGGTGTTAAAATTTTAGTCCATTCCATTAAATTAATATTAAAACAATACATATCATTTAATCTACCCATACGATAATCTGATAAGTGTTGTGATGTATTTATATGATTATGATTATTAGTATATGGACCACGACCACCAAATATAATGAACCAACCATGATTAGGTAATATAATAGAACAATGAGCTGCACGTGGTGTTGGAAATTTCCCAATGACATTTAATTGATGAATTAAATTCCATTGATTTTGATGAATATCATAAATAATTAATTGATTATTCCATCCACCATTATTATCACATATAATCCAACTTTGATTATCATTTGGATCATATAAATATGGCCATTGATAAAATTGATTTGGCCATAGAGATAATGGTTTAAATTGTGGACCATAACCACCAAATAGATAAAGTTTACCATTATAATATTCCATACAAAATTTAT